TGTACCTTTCTGTTAAAATTTTCCAAACAGGCATCTTCCTAAGCTTAGACTGTCATAGATTTATAACTTCTTTTTATGCTAAACACATAAAAAGATAGGAATTAGAGGGTTCTTTCAATAATATTGTCCAAATAAGTAACTTTTTGTAGCACAATCATAGTCCAAATAATTACATTCACCCATAATTTCAACATAACCATTTCACACAATCATGTTGCATTACTTCTCTGAAAATAAGAGAGTAAATCACCTTGGGGGGTTGTTTTAAGTTTCAGTATGCTTCTTCACACTTCGAGGACTCAACTTCTTGATTCTGTCTTGCTGGTCCAATGATAATAACAAATAACAAATCAAAGTCTGCTTGTATGGTTTGCATCTTCTATTGTAAGAAGAGCTAACTGCAGCTTGCTATGAAACCAGATAGGACTACAATCTGAATTCTGATTTCTGTGTGCTAAATTATAATTTATGTGTGTTTTATTCTATCATTTTGGGGTTTTGCCTGTTTGATTCCAGCATTTAGTTTGTAAGGAATGAAGAACAAGCTAGCTGCAACAGAAATAAGACTGAAATCTGAATTCTGCAAGTTTAATGCTCTTGTTCTTATCAACTTGTTTGGTTGATAGAATGGTTATTCCTTAATCAAATTATAAAAATGAGATAAATGAAATAGAAATCATGCTAGTAATTTTTTTTCTTTTTTAGGTTTTGGATTTAAGGGGCTCCTACTTCTAAGTAAAAATCAAAGGTCAGTCTTCTCTTCTCTGTTGCATTCTCAATAACTTTAATAGGATGCTTCCAGGAAACAAGATTTCCAAAGTTGGTTAATTGACTTGGGTTTCCACGACGGACAAGAGTAGGTAATTAAGTTAACAAGTCAATGGTATACCACTTCTTTCACTTGAGCGTGTTCCAACTTCCACATACTCATTTTCTTGCATGTATTGTTGAATTGTGAAGGTCCACCTCACCTTTTTATTAAAATTCGTCAAACTGGTATCTTCCTTTAATCTTCACCCCACCCAACTCTAAATTAATGCTTTCTCCTTTTATTTCTTTGATGTTCCCTACAGTCATATTTAAGTAGAGCAGAATGGTTTTGAGAACTGAGCAGATACCAACACAAAAGATTAAATTTCCTTGACACAGTCTTTAGTTTGGTTGAGCTTCATCTTCACTCTGTTCTTTTCACTTTCAAAAATCATGGTTTTAGGTATAGGGTTCTTCTAATTAATTATCACAAGATGTCAAGTGAACGATCACATAAATTATTCTTGACAAACGACATTATTTGGGCAACGTTTAGTATTTATGGTTTTATTTTCTTTGAAAGAACCCCAAATAGTACCAATTGCGTCACATGTTTAGTCTCAACCTTATCTTTGATGGAATTAGAAAATCAACTTCACATTTTCAAATGAATCAAATATTTAAATTTACTAAAATACCCCTTAAATTTAAACTATGTTATCCTTACTTCCCATTTACTAATTTTACTTATAAGCAGTAATATTAGATTAAGTTTAGTGAAATGAACCCGCCAACTTACATGAATTGTTTCACATTATTTCTCTCCTTCCATCGGCGTTGCTTGCAATACTTGCGCACCATTCACTACAAAAAAATGACATGAGAGTGATTTTAGCAAGTGGAAAAGATGAGAAATTAAATAAATAATAAAAAAAGGACTATCTTAGCTTTAAATTTTTGTTTATGCTAAACATTAAAAAAAAAAGAGAAAAAAAAAAAAGAAAAAAAAAACTTAAAGTTGTATGGTGCGTTTAATCATAATTAAAATAATTAAACCTAGATTGTAGGGTGCATTAAATCATAGTCCAAATAATTCGCCCAAGAGTGCAACATAATCATTTCACACAAATCATATTACCTATACTGGTATCTTCCTTGAATCTTCTCCTTCTATCTACGGTAAATTAATATTCTTTGATTTGACCTTCTACAACCTTTAATATGTTTTGCTGAAGTTCTATATAAGTAGCTAGAATGCTTTTGAGAACCCATCAAACATTACCTAAAAAACCTTAGTTACATGTCTACGATATTTCCCTGATTCACTCTTTCATTTTGGTTCACCTTCATCTTTGATTTTATTTTTCATCACTTTCAAAATGAAGATTCTGGGTGCAGGGTCCCTTCATCTTATCTATGCACTCCTGGTTTTACTACATATGCAAACTTCAATTGGATCCAATTCAACAACAACTGATGATGGAGTTAAGTGCATAAAGAGCGAAAGACAAGCTCTTCTCGCATTTAAGCAAGGTCTGGTTGATGAACATGGGAGGCTTTCCTCATGGGGAAGTGAAGAAGAGAAAAAGAATTGCTGTGAATGGGAAGGAGTTCAATGTAGCAACACAACTGGGCACATCACTATGCTTAATCTAACCGCATATTTGTATGACCTTCATTTTATCTTAAGAGGTAACCTTAGTCCTTCTCTCTTTAAGTTGCAGCATTTGATTTTTTTAGGCCTCAGTGGGAATAATTTCAACTTAAGCCACATTCCAGAGTCTATTGGTTCACTCAACAAAATACAACATCTGGATCTCTATTATTGTAATCTAAGTGGATCTCTTCCTAGTCAGCTTGCAAACCTCACAAGTCTGCAATATCTTGATCTTAGCTATAATAACTTCAACAGTGTCAAAAATCTTGAGTGGCTTTCTCGTCTTTCTTACTTGCAGTACCTTCGTCTGAGTGGAAATGACCTTAGTAAGGTCAACAATGACAGGCTGCAAGTAATTAATAAGCTCCCTCATCTAACTAACCTGTCTCTAGATGGATGTAATCTTCGAGATGTCATTCCCCAGTATTTCCCCATAATTAACACTTCTAGTACTTCTCTCGTTCACCTTGATCTAGGAAGCAACAATTTGACTACTTCTGCATTCCAATGGTTGTTCAACTTTAGCAACAGCCTTGTTAGTCTCTACCTGAGTTCTAATCAATTTCGAGGCCCAATTCCAGATACTTTCAGTCACATGACTTTTCTGGAAGAGCTTGATCTCTCGAATAATCAATTTGAAGGAGAGATTCCAAAATCCTTTTGGAGTGGTAACTTGTCGTCTTTGCGAAACTTGAATCTTCGAAAAAATAGATTGAGTGGTACCATACCCAAAGGTATCGGGTTGTTGTCAAAGCTTGAGGCCTTATCTATTTCTTTCAATTCTTTTAATGGGGTGATTACTGAGAAACACTTCTCGACACTATATAACTTACGGGGGTTAGACTTATCTTCTAATCATCTGAGCTTCAACTTTAGCTGTAACTGGATTCCTCCATTCCAGTTGAAATACATTCTTTTAGGGTCTTGCAAGTTGGGACCTGGATTTCCAAGCTGGTTACAGACCCAACGGAGCTATAAATATCTTAATATTTCTGCAACTGGAATTTCAGATAGCATCCCTATCTGGTTTGGTAACTTACCTTCTACAGCACGAGGTTTAGATCTTTCTTCCAACCAAATCAGGGGAATTCTTCCAGATTTCTCAAGGAATTTTTCATCTGATTCTTCTGACCTAGGGATAGATACAAGTGGAAATCATTTGGAGGGTCCATTGCCATCATTTCCTGCTAATACCACGCACATAAACCTCTCAAAAAATAGTTTTAATGGGTCAATTTCTTCCCTCTGTGCCATAACTGATATGTCCCTTGAGTTCCTAGATCTTTCAAGGAATCAACTATTTGGAGAGCTTCCTGATTGTATGATGCGTTGGTCAAGCCTACGGATTCTAAATTTGGCTAACAATCATTTCTTTGGAAAAATTCCGAGCTTTGTGGGATTTCTCTCATTGATTGAAACGTTTGATTTGCAAAACAACAGCCTCTCTGGGAAAATTCCTGGCTCTTTAAGGAACTGCAGTAAATTGCAATTTCTGGGTTTGAGTAATAATAGATTGTCTGGAATAATACCAAGTTGGATTGGAGAAAGGTTAAATTCACTAAATTTCCTTCTTCTAAAATCCAATTATTTTATTGGAGAAATCCCATTGGAAACATGTCAGTTGACAAATATTCTGTTGTTGGACCTCTCTAACAATAGTCTCTCTGGCCACATACCATGGTGCATTGGTGATCTGACTGCTTTGGCCAGAAAGGACATTACAGCCCAACATCATTTCTTTAACTCTTCACTTGTTAGTATTAACTATCGGAGCTATGCTGACAAAGCATCTATTGTATGGAAAGGAATAGAATATCCTTTTGAAAATCTCACACTTCAGAGGACAATTGATCTTTCAAGTAACAAATTAACAGGAGAAATTCCAGGCCAAATTTCGAGTCTTTCTGAAATGCACCAATTGAATTTGTCAAGAAACCATTTGATTGGAAGAATTCCACCAGATATAGGGCAGATAAGACAGTTGGAATCGCTTGATCTTTCACACAACAGGCTTTCAGGCCGACTTCCTCTAAGCATGTCCCAATTATATTCTCTCAGTAAGCTGGACTTATCTTATAACAACTTTTCTGGGAGAATTCCAACCAGCACTCAAATGGACACCTTTAATGCTTCTGCATTTGCTGGTAATCCTACACTTTGTGGACCGCCTCTAACACCATCATGCCCAGGTGATGAAAAATTGATAGATGATGGTGTCAAATACAATCAACAAGACAAAGATGAATTCTGGAAAGCGTTTCAACCTAGTATGAAACTCGGAATGGCTTTCGGCTTTTTGGGAGTTCTGGCTCTCAAGATAGATCATCCCTGGAAACATGTTTGTCTCTTGCTGTCCAACTACATGAAGGTCTACCTCAGCAACTTGAAAGGCTACCTCTGTTTGATTGTGTCAGCACTTTGTTTGGTGATAACAGTGAGTGCTGCTAGACTGCGAAGAAAGTTGAAGTTTTAGGATTCATCCCTTGGAAGGTATGTCTTGGGTTTGTTTACGACTTTATGTTGTCTTGTTTTTTTTGGTTTTCCGCCCGGTATCCGAGGCTTCGCCTCGACTAATCCGAATTCGACCTGCGTCGCGCACCTGAAAATGGTGGGTGAGTCTCCCAACGGAAGCTACTCCGTATATAAGGGCTCTTTATGTTGTCTTGTTCAATTATGAATATTACTTAATTGGAAAATAACAGAGGAGAGCACCTTTAATTGTCTTTTTTTAGGTTCGAGGTGCTTCTTCATGGACTTCAAGGGCTTCTCTTGAGAGCTGAAATTCCAGCGCCTCCTTTTCAGCTACCCCTGTTTTCAGAACAACCTTTTTTATCTCCTCTATTTGTGTAATAAATTA